ATTGTGTATGGGCTGAAGACAGGGTGAAAGATGGCTAAATTTTTAAAAATTTTGTGGTTAAAGAGCTTGCATTCTCATTGAGTGGTGTTTTGCCAAGAAGCACTATGAAAAAAAAAAAAAAAACCAAAACAGAAATTGGCATTTATTTGTTGGTGTTTAGAAGTCATATGTTTGACATGTAGTTGGGTTTTTTTGCCAGGAAGATAAACACTGCTGCGTGTGAAATTTTCAGATTTCATTGAACCACTGGAAAAATGGTAGGGCCTGATAAATAAAAAGCACCAAAACACCACAGTGCTAGACCAAGGCTACCTGGAATGGTTACTTCTCTGCTTAATCTTAAGTAAAATCCAACCATAGTAAGCTTGTCTCATAATGGGAAGGTGACTTTGCATGTATTTTCCTGGTATGAACTTTAAAGGCTGTGTTGTAAGCTTTGCCAGCAGAGGTTTAATTTTTTCTGCTTTTTCCTCTCCGTCTGTAATTTGCTCCAGGTACCCCTTTAGAGGCTTATCCCTCTCCATGTCTCAGATGAATCCCAAATTCTGTAAGGATTGAGCATAACCATGCTCTGGCAGTCCCTGTCTGGCCCAGCAGGGATGAGTGTTCTCTCAGAGAGAGATTCCCATGACTCAATGCTGAAACATTAATTCTGGGCTCCACATCCGATTTTTATTTTTTCACAATTTCAATTTTCAATTTTCACAATTGCCACAAATTTTCACTGCAGTTAAGTTCAGAAGACAACCACTTGAGGTCTCCCCTGCATGCTGAGCTGTGGCCTAGAAACAGGTGACAGAAATACAGGGGTGTACATGTAGAGTGTACTGGGAGGATTTTGTTTCCTCTTGGCTTCTTTTTAAGTTTCAGTAAAGAACAGTCTTTGTTCTGCATATCTCACTAGGGTACAATAGCATTTTCAGGTGTGGCAATCTCCTGTGTGGACAAGCTGGTTAGGTCTTGGTTTATTCTGTTGAATATTAACAAAATGCTTTCTCAGTTCATCAGCATCAATTCAGAAACAGCTATGGGATATTTTGGCTGCACAGTTCTAGGGAAGAAACTGGTCTTCTGTATCCTTCCTGCGTTTTCCAAACAGATCAGAATTCCGATGCATTCAAGCTGCTTTAACTGAGCAGTTTAATACTCTTAGAATGATGAGACAATTATCCAGCACTAAGTTGAGTGCAACCTCAGCTTAAATTCTTTACATCTCTTCTGTGTAACATAGACTCTTTAGGCTTTAGAATATCTAATAACATAGAAGGAGTTTTCTTTAAAAAAAGAAAGAAAGAAAAAATAAGTAGTACTTTCATTATGCATGGTGTTTGTTATTGGCTGTTCCTCCCTTCAGTACAACCTTTTGATAACTAGTCTATTACAACGTACATTTCTCTGCAAGCAGGCAGCTCACCTCAGTGACATTGTTCCAGGAATCAAATATTAAAACCGCAGAATGACTACCTATACCTGCCTTTAAATGTTAGGCTTTTTTGTAGACCTGCAAGAAATCAGTTTGGATTTCTCTAGGCTATGAGGCTTCTTGGTAACACAGTTAAGATGAGGATCTGTTTGTTTCCCCGTGGTTTTCTGAAGTTGCGCATGTTTGACCTGCCGTTTCAGAACATCAAATAAAAGAAATTCAGTTATGATTTCTGAAACAAATTGTCAGAGAAGAAGACCAGAGCATTCCCTAGACATCTGTGGGGAAGAAGCACCACTGACAACAAAAAACAAATCCCCAGACTAAATGGGAGAGGAAAGCATGTTACCCTTACATCCTTCTCCCCAGCCTGAAACACAGGTACAAGTTACTCACCTAGTTCTAGTTTTAATCTGGTGAAATCAATGCTATTTTGGCAGGATGACATTTGACTTACAGCAAAATGTGATTTAGCAGGACAAGAATTCTTAATTCAAAATGCCTGTAGCATTTCCAGTACTACTAAGAAAGTAATACTGCCACTTAGTTTCTCTCTCCTTATTAACCACAGATCACTCACTGTTGGTCCCCGATGTGTTAAAATTCTCGTTTGAGTTTTAGAAATCAGAATTATTATTTGGAAATCAGACCACACATGCGCCCCAGCGCAGTGTGCTGCCTAGCAGGGACTAAAGGCATGTCAGGGCAAGGACAGTAACTCCTGGCACAGCACCCACTGTCACTGCACACTTGACTGGCTTCTAAAGAATTGCAGGAGCAGCACCCTTGTGTAACCTAAAGACAGCGTGTGTCTCACATACCCTGAAGCAAACCCCTACAACAGCTCTGGGCAGCACTGCTTCCCAGGGAATGTCCCTGTTGGAGGTGGCCCTTCACTTCATACCAGACCAAACAGGAACACGTGACTCTTTCCCTGCGGTAGTGCTTCCCAGTCTGGTGTATCAGCTTACACTGTCCCTGCATGTTTATTGTCCAAATAGCCCTTAAAGAACTGTGAGGCTAGGCTGTGACAGGACTGGCACAAAGAAGGGATGGCAGATGCATATGCTATAGGCAGAGACCTAAGTGTCATTTGGCAGCGACTCAGGAGACCATTTCTTATTTGGGCCACATTCTTTTAATTTCAGAGTGCAAAGCCAGCTGTTGGGTGAGCTGGTCAAAGCAAGAAATTGGGTAGCTAAGTGAGAAACCCACCCCTTGCCATATGCACCAACAGGGTTAACAGCTCTCCAAAAGAATCCTGCTACAGTTCAAGGTAAAAATCGTGGATGTTAAGAGCCAGACAGTCCTTTTGTCCCACTAGATCCTGACCCATCGACAGGCAGTGCTCCTGCAGGTTTTCAGGTATCCTGCCTTACCAGCTGCCAGTGCTGGAGATCTCCAAGGAAGCCCATTGACTCTGATGGTGGAGGGGAGGCAAATGCCCTCCAGACCCAAACACCAACCCTGACTGGTGTGAAGGGGCAGGAAGCACACAGCATTCCTTTTTGTCTCCACTGAGGGCAACCAAAACAGAGAGGTCCCTTTGGTTTTAG